TTTGGTTCATTTGTATCTAGTGAACATGGAAATTCCCTCCTATCAGAAATATACTCAGTTATACAGAATACAAAATTATAAACACATCATGATGTTTTTGTCTGTTTTGATAGTAATAAGATAATATAAAATTTATCAGAATTCCTGTGTTTATAAGGCACAAACCTCTAGTCATACTACAGTGAGAAAATCTCATACAAATTGCATTTTTTATGCACCTCAACTATCAATAATAGAAAATAAGTGCTGATCAGTAATGCTAGAGGAAATAATAAATTATATTTCTAGTTTCACTATAAAAATATCATGACAATATCACCATCTGACAGAGAGGATGAGGCAAATTTATGGAGAAAAAGTATTATAATAGAATGTCTAGCAGCACACTGTTATTTTTCCTGGATTTTTAAATAATATTCATATTATTTATCAGCTTTATTATTTTGTAATTTGCTGTGATTTGTTTCTTGTTCTAAATAGTCATTCTAACATCTAATATTGTATTCATAATCTTCTATTCAGTTTTTTAAGGAAGGCCCCTAAAATCCTGGTAGTTTCAGGAGACAGAAACTGGATCCACCTCTCCTACCTACACACATTTTTATTTTAAAAATCAATATAATTCCCAATTTTAATATAAAGAAGAAATAAAATAACTTTATAATAAAAATATGTATTCTCAATAAATATGGTGGTAACAAATACAGTCTGATATGAGGGTAAGGTATTAGTGATACAAATATGAACAGTGTAGCTGTTGGTGATCAGATCTTCTGAAATAGTGAACAATTTAATGATGCGGTTCCAGGAAAAGCAAATAATAATCTTCCCTCAACATACATCATAGTTTGTTTCCTGTAAAATGCAGTATACATGAAAAAGTAAAAAAAAAAAAGAAAATACTTTGTATTTGTCAGTCAGGTTCAAGGCTCAAAGGTTCAAATAATTGAACCGTCCTGGGTATTGCAGGACATTCTGCTGCCTACTAAATGCTGAAAATCTATCCTGCATAACCATCACTGAGACAAGCAACAAGCAATACCCACTGCCACCCCACCCTCAGCCCACCCCCAGCCCAACAGACACACACACACACACACACACACACACACTCAAATTTCCTCACAGTCCTCTGCAGGCAATAACACAGGGATCATGATGTGAGAGGTTCAAATAACTCCCTGCCAGTCCGTATTTCCCAGCACCCACTCTTACCCTCACCTCCAGAAATACACTAGTCACAGTTCTGTTCAACCAGGTCCTAAAGGATTAGGGCTTCAAAATTTACCTATTAAAATGCAAATGTCCTTGGCTGGGCTAAGACTGCTTGTTCTTATCAGCTAAAAGCCAAAAGAAATTCCTTTAAGAGAAGGCTGTTTCCATTTCTTAACTGTGTAATTCTGTAAGAAAGCATAATGTAAACCTGTCCTATACTACGTTTGCTTTCACTCTGCCAGGCTGCGGGTTCTCTGTCTAGAACCACAACTGGGAATAATCTCAGAACCCACATAGGACAATGTCTCCCAAACACCTTGCAGCCCTGTGTGTGTGAGGTAGGATCTGCCCCACTGACACAAATACTTCTATGTGATCCTGACTGCATCCTCCGGGGACAGTTTGCCTTCTGAACCCACTAATGAATTTTACGGTTTTGGGTGTTTCTTTCTATTTCCTGTTGATTGACCAGAGGTTGGGGAAATGGTCTCTTTCCCTTCTATTTTCAAGTCCAAAGGCTCCTTGCAAAATAATCATAATAGCAGTAATAACTAACATATAAAGCATAAACTATCTGCCTGGCTCTCTCCTAAACTTTTCACTATATTACATCATTTAATGTTCATAACAATAGACTATTGAGACAGGCTGGTGAGCCAGGACAAGTGGAAAATAAACTGAGACAGACAGCGGAACAAACTGGCAGAGCGATTTACAGCAGATACAGGAGGTCACCTCCCTAGAGGGAAGATCTAGGCCTCAGTTGTATTTCAGTTCTAGGCCCAGAAAAGCAGCAAACCCAGGTGGGCAACACCAGGACCAACTGCAGTGACTAATGACCCCCTGCCCTGACACTGATCAATCAGTGGAGACCATGACCCTGAAGTAGCACACCTAGAAAGCTGATGAATATTCTGCTGAAACCCTCCCCCGAGACCTCTCCTAAAATTCCCACCTGCAAGAGAGAAATACAAGCCTCAAGACAAAGGACGCAGCGAGCTCTCTCCCTCTGGAGAACAGCCTGCACCATTCCCTTTCCCCTCTTCCTCCCTCTCCTTCCCCCACAGGCTTTTGTCTCCTAAACTCTAAGAGTCCCCAGTAGATTTGCAACCAGGGAGTAATGGGTAGCGGCAGCTCCTCCCAAGCTAATCCCCTGAACCTGTCCCCAAGGTCCCCTTTTCTCTGACTTCCCAGTGAGCTACAACAGTCCAGCCTGGGCTCTCCTGTTGCTGCTTCTGTGTTAAGCCCTTCCTTGTTTCACTGTCACCAGCTTTAACAATTGTTCCTCATAGTCACCTGGACTCATGCTGTGAAATTTTTTCTGCAGGAAGTCAAGATCCCACACACTACCAGCTGCTGCTAGGCAGACTTGCTCAGAGCCAGGTCCCCTGTCTGGCAACACTATTACTATTTCTGTTTATCAGAGAGGAGGCTGAACCACAAAAAAATTGAGTAACTTTCCAAGAGCCATGTAGCTAATAAATGATCTGAGATGAGACTCAAACTCCACAGCCTGTTCCAAGCCTGGACTCTTTTTTCATAAAATTTTAAAAATTATTCAAAGAGAGAGTGATCTGTTCCCTTCTGTATGCAACTGACCAGGGATCAAATCTACAACCTGGGTATGTTCCCTGACCAAGAATCAAATATGCCATCTTCTGGTGTACAGGACAAGCCACACCAGCCAGGGCAGAGCCTGGGCTCTTAATCAGTCTTTCATTTGATCTCTTTAAATTATGCATGGCTAATCATTTATTTTTACTTTTTTAATCTGTTACATATAATACATAGTCTGGAATTTAAAGAAAACAGTTTTGACACCACCATGAACTCCAAGAATCTTTTTCAGCAGGCTTATAATTTTGTTCTCCCCATTCTGAAGGAAAGACAGCTCACTTAACATCTGTCTGTTTGAAGGCAAGAAGATAGGTCCAAGGCCCTTTGGGTTTCTTGGCTGGAACATAGTGTTTATAAGGCAAATGTCATGGTCAATTTGCTTGAGCTCATCTTATGGTTCAGACTGCTCCCTAACTGGAAGAGGCCACAGAATGTCTCATCTGGAAAGTAAGTGGCTGATTACATATCTCAAAGGCAGGCAACTTAATGTTTCAGATGCACACAGTATATACAATAAGACACTATTGTAATAAGTCAGTGGTCAAACCCTGAAGAATTTGAGGAGATCGAGTCAAGAATTTTCTCTGTATTTTATGGTTTTAGGGATACCCAAGAATTGTAACACTAGTTAGGAGATCTTTTCCCAGTCTATCGCATTTTTGTGCACACTTGGAATATAAATTATGGTTTAACATCTGCCTCCCTGCGTTGTGAGCCCCCTCAAGACTCACAACACAGTAGGGCAAAAGAATTGTCTAAAAATATCTCCAATTTGGCTGGTCAAATAGTGGATCATTAAGGAATCAGGTGAAAATTTGTAAATTTGTGGACCAATGGATTAGCAGAATTTAGGTAACAAGAGGGTTGGTAGTGTTGCTGGAGGCAAGAGGTTCTTCTACAGTGTTTCAGGAAAAGAATTTCAGGGACACATGGATAGGAGGATTTTAAGGGATGGTGGCAAGATTTGTTAGAGAGCCCTTGAAAAGGCTGCTGCACTGGAGGAGGCATTTCCCCAGCACTCAGCTGGTAGATCGCGTTCAGGGCCTCCCAGGTACACCATGCCCAATGTTGCATCCACAGCCAGGTGCTTCAGCTCCATCTCATTGCATAAGTATGGCTTCCAAGCCCACAGGCCTGCACTTGGGCCCACCAGGATGGTCAACAGGGCCCAGAGCTGCACCCACTTCAGCACCCAAGGTTAACCTTGGGTAAGTTACTTAACTTCCCTGTGCCTCCTTCCCTATCTGCACATCAGTCGCCAAAGCTCAATGACACCTGAACTACGATTGGCCCGTGCAGCTGCCACTCAGAGACTGGCCTTTTTTTAAGCTTTAATTACATCTCCTTGAATTTGGAAAGAGGCAGGCCTTTTTTCAGACTATTCAATCTCTTTCCTGGCTTTTCCTAGGCTTGTGTCCTTATCCTATCTGATTTTTCCCCCAGATTCTCCTAGGTTTGTCGCTTTTTCTTTATGGTCATCATTTTGGCTTCTACTGTGCTTGCACTTAGTGAAAGGAGATCCTCTGTGCCATTTCTACCTGCCTCCTTTAGTGAAGGTAAAGTGTCTTTCCTGCCTACTCAGATTCCCCGGAGAGACTAGGAAACTGAACTTTCCTGGTTAATCCAGCTGGTTCCATTTGCTCCCTTCCTTTTTGTTAATGTCTGACTAACTGCCTACCACACAAGTAGCTCTTGAGAAGCACAGCAGAATTTCAGCAATTGTTGGCCATACTTGTGGGCATGCATAAACAGTATATTGTTAAGATTAAGAGCTGTACTCTAGGGTTAGATTTTTAAGTGTTGGAATTGGCCATTTAGTAACCTGAGGCAAGTTGCTTAACCACTCTAAGCCCCAGTTTTCCTACCTAAAAATGTAGATAATGAAGGCACCTGTTCATAGGATTATTTTAAGAAATGAATGAAATATCCCTTGCCCCACTTTTCTAAATTGCATTGATTTATAATTTAAGAATGTCCTGTGACTGTGTGCCTAATCTTATGATTTTCTTTCTCCAGATTCCAGGCGGGACTATGGAGGTGGGCTGGGGAGTAAGGTGGTACATATAAAAGTGCCCAGTTAAGCACCACTCCAAATGTTATCTCCAGAGAAGGAGGCAAACCCAGATGCAGCTGATCAGCTAACCAGATATGGCATAGAAAACATTTCCTTCTCCTTTTTGGTTTTAAGCACAGTCTGTACTTGGAGGCTACAGAGATGTCTACTTCCATGGGAGGCCCAGCCCTGCTGGGGATAGCTTTGCTGCTCTTTCGTAAGTAGAACTTCAGTCACCCCTTTTGGAGGAGCCAAATGGATCTAGGGAGCAGCTGGGATGGGGTTGACAGTTTTAGTGGTGACTTTTTCTAGGCCTTGCACAAACCTTGGGACATTTCCCGGGGATTCTGTAGTGGAGACAAACTGGAAAGCAGAGGAAACTGAGCTGAGCAACACCTAAGCAAGAAGCCAGACTGAAAGCCTGGTTTCTTGCAATTATTCTGGCATCTCCCAGAGGATGGGGAGGGAGGATAGAGGAAAAAGAGAATCTCCTATCCCCCTGGATCAAATTCCTGAGAAGAGAGTTGGTCCTTAAAACTCCGTGAATGTAGACCTCATCACCAAACCCAGAGCCCAGTCCTCAGGAGTCTCAGAAGACTGGGAATAGACACTAATTTATCCTCTCTGAAATTTTGCAGCTCCAGATGGCATGTCAGCAGGTGAGTTCTTTGTCCTTGTTCACTCAATGTTTCAATGTGTCTGGGCATTATCTCCCTACACTGTTTCCCTTCATTCCAGCATCTTTGTTTTCTAATGATTATGAATCTGTAACTCCCTATTCAACCCACTTCCTATTTCCACCTAGCTTTGTCTTTCTTCTTTTCTCTCACTCAAAAGTGTCTCACATACCAGTTCATTCTTTCAAGTCATCACCTCTTTTTACGTCAACAACCATATCTTTTGAACATTTAAATGTTCAAATGTCTTAGCTTCTCTTCTAGGCATTATTACATAATCTCATTCACTTCTTACATCATTATTCTTAATGTTGTTATTTTATAATTAAGGATGTTGAAACTCAGGTTTGATAATTTTCTAGAGCTTACACAGCTAACAAAGGACTGAATTCTAACATAACTCCCTTGGATCTAAGTCTGGTTCTCTCTCGACCGCAACCGCCCTCCCCCAACCCGCCCTGCGCTACCTCCTTCCTTAGCTTTGGTTCAAATTTACATCACATCTCTTTGTTCTTAGAAGCCTTTTTAACACTGATCTTCTTGGTGTTTCTCATTACCTTCATATATATATATATATATATATATATGTATATATATATATATATATATATTTTTTTTTTTAAGAGTATTACAGGTGTTGTTTGCTATGTACACACTCAAAACACAGTTATGCATCCATTATTCACTTATCATTCACTCAGTTGAGCCAGCCATTGAGCTGAGCTATGGTTGAACATGACAGACATTGTCTCTGTCTAAAAAGAGACTGCAGTCTTCATTTACATACTCTGAAATTTGGGAAGTAAACCTATCAAGAGAATTAAAGTGAGTTATCCTATACCACATATTAAATTTTTTGTTTGTCTGTTGTTGTTTTTTTAATATTCTGCATTTTTGTCCTTTCTCCCTAGGTTAGGAGCTCCTTAGGGCAACAACAGTGTTTCCTCTTTTTTAAATCCTAGAAATTAAGATAGGGTCTTATCATCAGGAGAAAAGGGTAGACTAACCACTGATTGACTATTGGTATGTCTGTACTTTGATGCCTAGAAAATTAATTTTCTATGATTTCTCCCCTATATCTCTGTTCGTAAATTGACCTTCTCAAAGCCACCTGGAAATCTGTGATATCCTTGAATCCACCATGGAAGAGAATATTTAGAGGAGACAATGTGACTTTTACATGTAATGCGGGTAATAATTCCCTTGAAGCTAACTCCACTAAGTGGACCCACAACAACAACCTGTTAGCAGTGAGAACTTCAAGTCTGGACATTGTAAATGCCAAAGCTCAGGACAGCGGGGAATACAGATGTCAGTGCAAAAACCATATCCCAAGTCAACGTGTGTATCTAGAAGTCTTCAGCGGTAAGTGCCACGTCTATGGAAATATAGATTTTGACAGGTGAGGAATAGCCTATCTGATGATGTGGAGAAAACAAGTTGTTTCAAGGCTTAGGGTACAAGAGTAGGACTCAGGGTCTCTCACTTAAGACCTGTTCCTCTCTCTTCTTCCATCTCTACTCCTTCTGCCTCCCTGACTTCTGCCTTCTTTCAACATTCTGGCCATCTTCCAGTTATTTCTCCATGTTATTTCACCTGTATCTTTTTTACGTAGGTTCAGGTTAATGGCATATTGGATATGTGAGCATTGCAAAGAACTAAATACCTAAAATAGGATCCAAAGATTTGATTTAAAGATTTGCTTTGCAATATCCATGTGCAACAACCTGAATATTAGGTTGTACTCTTCTTTTTAAAAGATATCTGTGTTCTTTCCTCAAATCCTCTACTTCTGTTTAAGAAAAAAATTTATGTTTGCTTTATCTTTTCTTTTTATTTAATTATTTTATTTTTGTTACCCGGTTCTCCTTTTCCCCTGATTAACACCCTCCTCCCGTTCCCGCCACCCCCACCCCCAGCTTTGTTGTCTATGTCCATTGGTTATGCTTATACGCATAAGTTCTTTGGTTTACCTTTTCCCTTTATCTTTATCACTTTCCTACTGCTAATAATTAGTGCAGCCTGCTTAGGCATATGTGGGTAAGTTAGTAAATACTGCATGAAAAAACTAATGATTTCATTTGAATGACTAGGTTATTGTTATATTTTACTTTATATTTTTAAATATAAATATATTTTAAAATATAAACAAACTTTGTATTTTTTTCTTGAGTGGAAGATATTTTAACATACATATGCAAATTTCAAATACAAATTAAAGGAGTGTAGAATAGATCTTTTATTTCCTTAGAGTAGATTCTGGAAAAGTCCTCAAGGATTGCTCTTAAATAAAATATGTTTGCACAAACTAGCCATATTTCCACTTAAAATTTTTCTTTGGTGACTGCTTTTCAATTCTTAAAATGACATTAGCCATAGAACTGGACTCTTATTTTTTACTGACTCATTAAAGAAAAATATTTGTTGAGTACTTACCAACTTCTAAGTATTATGCTAGGCACTTGGGATGTAATGTAAGGAACAAACATGGCCCCAAGCCTCTTGAAGTACAGAGCCAAATGAGGATCAAGACATTAAATAAATAATTACACAAATAATTAATGAAATTATTATACATGTTTTGAGGAAGTTTTAGGAACAACTCTAATTAATAATAAAACTGGAAGTCCCTATGAGGTAAGAGAGAATAAAATAAACACTGTTCAGGCTTAGACACACTAGGCAGAATAGGTTTACTTCCCACTTAGTGACTAGAACTAACAATAGTGGAGCTAAAGGGGATACTGGATTTCAGACCTTCCATGGATGGGCTCGGCAGAAATGTCAGAGAAATTGTGTGGCCCCAGACTTATTCTTCAAGAGGAGAGATTTATTAGTGTAGAAGTCTGGCTCTAAGCATTATTTTTCTTCCTTTTTATTGACTTTATGAGCCAAGAAATATATTAATGATGAAAAATGGTTTCTGACACAGACTCAATACAGGATCTCATTTATTTTATCATCTGTTATCTATCTGCAATCTATCTGTATCATATATCTACCTGTTCATTGTTAAATAAGTAACATACTAAATGCTCCTCAGATTGGCTGCTCCTTCAGTCCTCTGCTGAGACGGTACAGGAGGGTGAGGCCTTCCTCATCAGGTGCCGTGGTTGGAGGAATGGAAACATCTTCAAGGTGATTTACTACAAGGATGACATAGCACTGAAGTACTGGTATGAGAACTACAACATGACCATATCCAGTGCTACAACAAACAATACTGGTACCTATTACTGCAGTGGCATACTTCACCAGAAAAACTATACCTCTGCTTCCCTCAAGATTACTGTGAAAAAAGGTGAGTTAGTAAAGGAAATGCAAGGAGCCTATAGCAGGGGGAGGGAGAGAAGACATCTCGGCTTGAAATAGTAACAGCTTGTACAATGGGGGCAGCTGTGATACCTTAGAAAATCTGCTAAACTTCCAATGGAGAAATCTTGGGCATACTATATCTCTTAATCTCTGACTTAGTTGTTTTTTTGGTTTGTTTGTTTATTTGTTTGTTTGTTTTGCATTTATCTTCAGATAGAGCAGAAGGGAGAGAGGGAGGAAGAGAGAGAGAGAGAGAGAGAAACATCGATGCTAGAGAGAGACATCGATTGGTTGCCACCCACACTATCCCAACCAGGGCCTGGGACAAACTGCAACTGAGGTACATGCTCTGAGCATGAACCAAACCCAGGACTATCTGGTCTGCGGGCTGATGCTCTAACCGCTGAGCCAAACCAGCCAGGGCTGTCTTAGATGTTTTTATGTGTTTAATGGCAATAGTAATACCTGCCCATATTATGGAATTTTTATGAAGATTAAATGTGGTAATATTTATGAAATTGATTTGTAATTTGTTAAGCACTACCCAAGTGTAACAGATTGCAATTAGTTTTGATCTCAAAGTCATCTGCTACTCCTGGTGGAGCAGTTATAGTTATTAAATTGAAAGGAAGTGTCAAAGTTGAAGAAACAGAGGCTGTGAAAAACTTGGATAGTCTATTCTAGCCTAGGGAGGATGGGAAAGGAAACCAAAAAGTCAGTAGGCTGTGTGTCTGTGTATTGGGAAAAGAGAAAGAGGGCTTACTGAGGAAAAAATAGGCAGGTAGGCTGGCTCTGTGCCGATGAAAAGGGCTGTTTCTTCCAAACTTCATATAAAAGAGAGAGCCTTTGAAATATTTGCCTTATAAGCAGAAAATTAGACCTTTTGCCTTGAAAACTTGACTTATATTAATGTCTCCAAAAGCACAAGACCAGAAGCTAGAATTAAGTTCTACTGGTAGTTCTTTGTTAACTAATTTGAGACCTAAGTACTATTTAATTGTTCAGTATCCTTATCTATAAAATAAATGGTTGGTCTAGACTTCATTAGAATCATTTGGAAAAACTAAAAAAGAAAAAAAATTCATGCCCATGTCTCATCTCTAGAAATTATGACTTAATTGGTTTGATAGGGCCTGCACATCAGTATTTTTTAAAGTTCTTTCAGGTAATGGTAATGTATAGACAATGTTCAGAACCACTGCTCCAGGTGAGCTCTTAGTAATTGGCTTTAATATTGTGGGGATCTATAATTCTAGAATAATCACAAAAAACAGTACTTTGTAAAAAAAAAAAAAAAAAAAGTAAGAGTCACAAAATAGTGGAACTGGATGATCTAATCCAATATCTTCATTTCACCCCAAAAACATGCAAGAATAATTATTGATTGATTGATTGATTGATTGATGATTGAGAAATAAGACACTAATGACACCCTGCCCTCACTTTGTCTCCTTTCTAACCCCAAATAATATGTGGATGTTAGTCTTGTCAGCCCCAAGAAAGGGGTCATTTTTCCTATTACCTTCCCCCTTGGGCATATTGGCTAGAGAAACTGTTAGACACGGCTGTGGGGGAGATGTTCAAGCCTCCCTAGGGCTCCAGGGAACATAGTCTGAGGAACCCAAACTCAGAAGTGTTTTCTCTCTACACCTGAATGCTGTATCATGCTAGAATATGGAAGAATGTGCTGGGCCCTTCTAGGGAAGATGAAGCCCTAAATCTCATAGTTCAATTTTTAATATGATTTATGTTTCTTGTTGCATCTAGATTCCACCACAATTTACCAAAGCAACTGGCTACAATTTATTCCATTTTTGGTAGCAATTCTGTTTGCTGTGGACACATGGTTGTTTATTTCAACCCAGAAGCAATTTATATTTATCTTGAAGATTAAGAGGACCATAGAAGGAAACAAACTTAAGGACCCACATCCTAAGCCAAAACCCACAAAGGACTGATGTCATGGCTCAAGAAACATTGGCAACGGCGATTTTTTTCAGGCATCAGCAATTGCTTCTCAATTGTCAAGCACAACCATCAATGTACATAGAAAGATCAGTGTTCATCTGAACTGTTCACTAAACCAACTGAAACTGGTTAAATGGCATGTAATAGTAAATACTCAGTAATTGTCGGTTAAATAAGTAAATCCATGTATACATTCATTTGTACATCTATTTATTTATACATCTGTGAAAGAAAGGTACAATTTAAATAAGAGAACTATGAAACTATATGATGCTTCCAAGTACTTGAGACTCACCAGTTTTTTGTTGTTTTTTTTTTTTGCTTCTAGAGGCAAAAGCCATCAAGTTTTAGATTAAACATGTTGTCTCTTGACCATAGTGAGTATAAGCTAGGAATGAGAAGACATGGTAGAATGCTAGTGAGGCCTGTCATTTTAATGTTCTCTCTTCAACTAACTACCCATGAGCTTCTAGGTCTTGGCAGAATCTGGGGCAGTCCTGAGCCATAGAACTTTGGGGATGAGGCTCAGTCTAAGACTCCTTTGTGATTGTTTCGCCCCTCTAATATCTCCCAAACTTTATCTTGAATACCCTCTTACAGCACCTGAACTAAGTATCTTGGAGAAATTCTTGTGAATAATCATAATCAAAACTCTTTGCTCTGAAAGCAATCCAGAACTGAATAAATCTCAAAGAATTTAGACATTTTGGTTTGTTGATTTCTCTTTTCAATTTATGGTTTCACAACATTCATTGGAAGCCCAGGATTCTCTCATGGAATAAATGGGACTAAGTTTCAGCCTCTTACAGAGCTATTCATTAGAAAGAGACTAAACTAAACTTAAGAAGGAATGAATCTAACAATGAAATTGAAATTGCTCATAAATAAATTTTTAGGACAAAGGGGTGATTTTTTTGTGAATTCTGAGAAAAATTCATAGTTTAATTTCCTTAACCAGTTTTCAAAAAAATAATACTAGACTGCTGTTAATTGAATTGAGCCATAGTAAATATAGTTCAATTGATAGCATAAAATTATATTTTAATTAAAATGTAAGAGTCACTGGCCTTCTGTCATAGTTAGGTTAAATCAAGGCTGAAAATTTGGGTTCCCCACTTGCCAACTGCTGTTCTAGAAATGGGATACTAAAATGTTGTAAATGAGATGTCTGGAAACAGACGCTGAAACAAAGATTTGAATGCAGCAAGTTTACTAGGGAGTGCTCTCAGCATCAGCACCTGTGTGGGTGAAGGAAGCAGAACTGGGCAAAAGAATTAGATGACGTAAACAGAGCCACAGCAAAAACCTCAAACCATCTCTCAGATGAGAGCCCTGAAACTGGGAAAGCCCTTCCTAATCTTCTTCAATTGAGGTGTGGGCCAGTCTTTATACCCTGAAATTAGGAAATCACTGGAGGCCATCTACTCCTGGGCAGAGGGTGTGACTTTGGAGAAGGCAGCTCTTTAGCAAGGGCGATTCCTGAAGAGGGACTCAGCCAAGTGCTGCCAGCCCAGGACACTCCCAGCAGCTGGAGTAATGACAGTGCATCCTCAAGGGGAGCAGTCAGCGCAGTGTACAACAGCCTCCGCTAGACACGACTTCAAACAGAAGAAATGTGACACCAGCCGTCAGACCTTTACCTAACACTTTTATCCAGATTAAGCAGACTACTAAGGAAAATAGTTTTTATAATTGTGTTATGACTATACTCACAGAAATGAACTGGCTCTATCATTTCTAAAAATCTGAACATACAGGCAAAGATATATTCTATCTCTTTGACTTCATATGCCAGGGGTTTTTTTTGCAAAGTGAGACATGGTAACTTTACTTACAGGATTTGTTAACTTCCACTGGCCTGTCCCAACCTCAGTATCCAGCAGACTTCATGACACAATCACAAGCTTTTGTGCAGTCATTACTTGGTATCAGCTGGATACTGGGGACTGCAAGAGCTGTATTTGAAACTCAGGTTATGCTTGATCCTCAATATAGAAGGCCAGAGTGGAGGATGAGGGAGAGGGGATTTTTCCTTGTCCCAGAACATACGCTATCCAACTTCTGTGATGGTCACACATGAAATGCTTTTTTCAAATGTGGTTTTAAGTTGGAGTGTCTAAGGAGAAATTTCTGAAGATTAACCTCTTCAGGCTTAGAAACTTACTGGAAAATTTTTTTTAAGTCAAGCTTCAGATTTCTGCTCATTAATAAATATTTTCAAAATTTGTAGTTAAAGTGCCTACACTTATAATACTATTTCAAAGAGTTTAGTTTTTTCTTGCGAAAGAAACTATACCTTTGCTTAGCTCTTTCCAGCCTCCAGCCTCTTTTACCCCTGTATTGGAAGTGGGACCAGCATTGGACTTTTCAGCATGCTCTGCTTTATAATTGGAATTTAGGCATTTCTGGACTATGAACAACCCACCTTTGGGTTCTCAGTAGCTGATGTTTTTTTGTTTTGTTTTGTTTTGTTTTGTTTTGTTTTGTTTTGTTTTGTTTTGTTTTTTGGCTTTCCCACATTTGTACTTCTCATTCCCAGGAATGGTCAGCTAGGGCAGTTCCCGTCACTTGGAACGTATGCATGACATCTTTTGACAATTCTTCAGGCTGTGATAGGATATTAGCAAGTAGCAAAAACAGATTACAATAAAGCCTTCAATGTCCACTGAAAAGGATATGCATGCATGTCTCCTCACTTGATTGTTAAAACATTTGCAAAAATCAGTCCTACTCCCTTAAGAACACACACAAAAATAGTTATTCTAAAATGGTTTCTAAACCCTTTGTATATTAGCTGTTGAGAACTTTGCTGAGATCTGTGTCTTAATGGAGTTGTGTAAATCAGCATGTTCTCAGGGTGTGTTTAGCTATGTGCATGTGTCTGTGGGAGAACATGGATATGAGTGACTCGGGCATGTAAATCTTTCTCCTACATTCTTAACTGTATATGAAGTCATTCTTTATCTTTTCTGAAGGAGAGCATGGAGAACCATGACTAGCTCAAATGGAAGCCTTCAGTTTTAGCACCCAATTAAATTTAGTCTATTGTTCTTGATCCCATATTTAGAGACATATTATTGAAACAGCATTAACATTAATACATATTCATAAAATCAAGTAAAAGGACTTCACAACCTCTCCTCATTAAAGGGAGCGGGGCTTTCGCCCCATGGCTTTGCATAGAGCATCTTTGACCTCCTTGTTTCTCAGACTATATACAATGGGGTTCAGCAGGGGAGTGATGACGGTGTAGGTCACTGAGATGAGTCTGTCCTGCCCCAGGGAACTCTGGGACTTAGGCTTGAGATAGATGATGGAGGCACAGCCATAGTGGATGATGACAACTGTGAGGTGGGAGGCGCAAGTAGCAAAGGCCTTCTTCCGACCCTCAGCTGAAGCAATCTTAAGAATGGTGGAGATGATGAGTACATAAGAGATAGAGACCAGGCTCATGGGTAGGACAAGGACACAGATACTGACAACAAAGTTGATGATTTCATTGACTGTAGTATCTGTGCAGGCCAGTTTCAGCAGGGGTCTCACGTCACAGAAGAAGTGAGGGATGACAAAGCCGTCACAGAAAGGGAGACAAAACACAGATGTTACTTGAACAGTGGCCATGCCCAGCCCAATCCCCAGTGACACAGACACAAACTTTACACAGGCCTCTTTACCCATGATGACTGAGTACCGTAGGGGGTTGCAGATGGCCACATAGCGATCATATCCCATGGCCGTGAGCAGGAAACAGTTGTTGATACCAAAAGTGAGATAGAAGAAGAGCTGAGTGGCACAGCCTTGGATAGCAATGGGCTGATAAGGACTCAACAGGCCAGAAAGCATGTAAGGAATAATGGCTACAGTATAGCAGGTCTCAGAGATGGACAGCATGCTCAGGAAAAAGTACATGGGAGTATGGAGGTGACGGTCCAGGCGAATAATAGTGACAATAATGACATTACCAGAGAGAGTCAGCAGATACAAAGTTAAAAAAACAACAAAGAAGACAAGCCTGTGCTGCCACCCAAAGTTGGAGAAACCTTCAAAGAGGAACTCAGTCACAGCAGTGGAGTTTGGTTTTAGCATTGAGGAATGTCTATGTCTGAAATAGCTGGGCAAAGAAAAGAAAGGTGTGATGAGTCAACTATGAAAGAGAATAGGTCTCGACCAAGGCCTTCAAAAAAGGGCTTCCCATCTTCTGATCAACACTCCAGACCTCAAAGACCATCACTGTCCAGCTGTTGGCTATTTGCTCAGAGTCATCACCTTTGTCCCTCTTCTTCTTTGATACTACAGACATGCTACCTTAGAACCCTGGGACTGAGGTCAGAGATAGATCTGAGAGGGAAAGTAGAGACAAATTAAAAGACAGGTTTTATAGAAATAATTACCCAGCCATTGAAGAAGTAAGTCCAGGTCAAGGAAGAAGCCCAGCTCTATAGGCCTCTTCAAACACACTTGAATTAACCCCCTAAAGATTCAGTGAGGAGCAGTGACCTAGGTGAAAGATAAAAGATATCTGAGGCAGATAGCAACACTGTCAGCACTGTCAGAATGCATTACCAACATCAAATAGTCCATGAGGTCCTAGATTGACTTCTCTTCCTCAGTACCCTAGGTCCTAGGCTTCACTTCCCTATGCCCTACACTTACAATCCACTGTGATCATTAAAGAGTAGAAAGGAAACAGTTTTACTGGATATTCCCCCCTGGATTGTACCAAATGTTCTTTAAGATCCTAGAGAAAATTGGTTTGATAAGGTACTCCAGGTTGCTAGCGTATCTCCTTGAATTCCAGATGAAGAGAAGAAAGAAGATGGAATAAATTTGAGAATATTCCTTCAAGTAGAGAACAGGTTTTCCCCATGTGAGAGCAAAGATAAGATTCATTTAATCAGAGCAGTACCAGACATTCTATATTTTTACTTAATTTGTTTACATTTCAAGTTGTGATAGGGATAGAAATGAACTTACCCCATGTGAGCGCAGAATTGGAGACTATACTGGGGGCAGATTTAAACCTGCCACTTAAATTCATATTAACTTCTGATAAAACCCACCGTGTTTAAACACTACCTCCATTCAGAAAGCTGAGAATCATTCATGAAGTGATGGCTTCATGAATATTTATAACAGCAGAGTTGGTTTATTATTATTTTTATGTGTTTTCATTGATTTTTTTAGAGAGCAAGGGAGAAAGAGATAAAAGCATCAATATGAGAGAGAAACATCCATGCCCCCTCCTGGGGAGGGAGCCCACAACCCAGATATGTGCCCTAACAGGGAATCAAACTAGGACCTCCCAGTCCATGGGAAAATGCTTAATCCACTAAGCTACACAAGTGCTTCCTTCCTTTTTTGACCTTAGAGACAGTACCTCCTGAAGTTCTTTCCCTTTGTCCTGCCTTCTCTTCATGTTTTCTACCAAAACCCAACTCTGACCCTCAGTGGCCTCTTAACTAATCTCCCTCACTTCAGTTAACCCTAGTCCAAGTCCTAGTCTTCCTCCTAAATGTTGTCATAACATCTCTTGTAATAAATCGGCTAATGGAGCCTCCTACATAAATTTCTTTACTAGTCCTTCAAAATTTTAAGCATAATATTTAAACTCATTTATAAATTGAGTATAGTAATACTCCACAGAGTTCATGAGTATTAAATGAGTTAATCTA